ACACACACACACACACACACACACACACACACACACACACATTCTGTTGTCTATTGGTGGGGAGCGGCACCTGCTGGAAACTGGGTCCAGCGTCCAATGAACATCGTTAATAGAGCCCCAGCCGGGACCCCCCCCACAGACTCTTCGAGGTGTGTACAGTGAACATAGCAAAACATACACACACCATAATCACTACCTCACCCTTCCCCATGCGCACCCGTGCCCTCACGGTAAGTCAATTGTGTGTATGTGTGGCCGGAGGCGATGTATGTTTGTATGAGCCCATAGGCCATAGGCTATGTGTATATGTATTCACTACCCATGCATGTCTCTGCCATAAGGTTATGTGTGCTGTGTGTAGCTGTATAGCGAGATGTATGTGCCCGAAGGCCAGATATGTGCAGTACTATGTAGAGGGAACTATGTGTTCGTTGAAAAGATGACAGGCCAAGCTGGACAAGACCCCCCCCCCAAAGTCCCAAGACAGACTCGAACCCATGATGTATGACATGTGACCTGACGACTCTACCATTTGAGCTACAATCGCAAACGGCACCTGTGTGCAATATGCCAGACTGGGGAGATCGACAGAACAACCACGACCCAAAAGCGACAAGCAACCCACGCAGAATCACGACCCGACATACAACACCATGCACAACCCTTGGGTGGTGCGCACTGCGCAGGCAGTGTCCGTAATAGCTTACCATGCGTCAGCCAAAGGGGGGGGGGGGTGTCCAGACGTGTCCAGCCGTGCGTCATTCTAACGACCTGCAGATGTCCATGCACAAGCCTGCAATTGCATTTTGAACCCACAACCTCATACCACAATGCGCATTTCCAACCGGTGCTCCTATGTTAACCAGAATCGGTTTTCCCAACACGCAATTTTCCCAGTGAGGCCATCCTTTTTTCCAATGAGGATACTGAGCCTTTCCTTGGGCCCATGTTAAACCAACACTACATCCAACTATCGACCGCGGGCCCTTTTCGGAGGGCGCCCGCCGCCGATTCAATTTTATCTAAGGCGCTGGGCCTCCGAAATTTCGGTACGCGACGAGTTTTCTTTCCAGCAAGGCTGGGGCCGTGTACTGGCGGTTTAAGCAGAAGGTGTGTTCTCAATTGCTGGCCTGTCCACTGGCGGTTTAAGAGCTCAAGCAGTATTGACGATGACGCTGCCATTTCCATTTGGCATAGTGTTGGGCCCATCAGTGGTACGGAATCGCTATCTGTGGCCCAGACAGCACGCCACTTTTACACCATCAGTGCTTCGCCCAGCCATTTTTCTCCGATGTGGCCGTCAATGCGCCACAAGTTACACGGATCGGCCTACGGGAGAAGATGGCTGGCGGCACCAGGGAAAACCCGGAAAAGGAGGCCTGTGCAGGTTTGTTTTTTCCGTGCGCAGTGTTGTGCAGGTCTGTTTCTCGGGAGGGCGCAGGGCTTTTCCAGGCTCGCCAAGGGGAGGGAAAAAAGTACAGATGGTTTTAAATGGTGGGTAGGCTGACTCTTCATAAGTATTGTAAACTGCAAAATACATTGCATCCATGGTCAGCATTCCTGTATCCGGCCTGAAAGTTGCCCTGGATGCAGGTATGACGACATGTCTTCCGCTCAGAAGAAGAAAGTACATGCATGTCGCGTGGGTAATGGTGATTGTGGGGAGACGGCCGAAAGGAAGGGAGGAGGGAGGGTGGGGGTTGCAGTACCAGTGTTTCAAGACAGTAGCAGCCTGGTCACTCGTGAGACAACCTCGGCGGGTTGAGATCCTTGCTACACAATTGTCCAGATTCATGCTGATTCCATGCCAAGAGCAAGGTCCAATTCAGGCTCAGGTTCATTCTCAAAACCAGGTGATACTTTTTTGGATGTATATCACTGGGAATCATGACCATATTCATTGGAAAACGGCATTTCTCGTACACACCCTAATTCTCCACCAGCTATGTAAGGAAATTGACTCAGCAGGAGAAAGCGCGATAATCTCTACGAGCATACATCCATGCGTGCACGCACCC